TTTAAAATTTTTTTAAAAATTAAATTTAAAAGGAGAGAAAATATCCTTCAAAAATGAAGGTTAACTGAAGATATTTTCAGATAAAACCAAGTTCAAGGACTCAATTGCCAGCAGATCCATACAACCAAACACCTAAAGCAAGTTCTCAAAAGGATAGGAAAATTATAATACCTGGTATAAACTCAGATCCTAATGAAGTATAAAACGCATCAGAAATGTCAAATAATGGGCAAATGCAAAACACATTTTTTCCTTTTTGACTTTTTCTTCTTAATCTCTTCATCAACGATATACTGTTACAAACAGTAATTGTGACACCTTGTGGAAGATGTAAAGTATCTAGATGTAATCCACATGACAATGATAACAGCATGGGACTGGATGTGCACTGAAAACTTGCCAGATTTCTGGATTTCTTGAGAAGTGGTACATTATTAACTCATTGCAGACTGAAAAGTGGAGTATAGATTCTAATCCCTAGTACAAGCCCTAGAAGAAATGCAAAGAAATACAGCTAAAATAGGGAAAATAAAATTCTGAGGAGTATCTGACAATAAAGTGGAAGGCAGAAATAAGAAAGAGGGAAATAAGAAGTGGAGACAAGCCACACAAACACAGGAACACAGCCGTATCAATAATTTCATTAAATGTGCCTCCGGGACATTTATGAGGATAGACCATATATGGACCACAAAAATGTCTTAATGAGTTTCAAAAGACTGAAATCATGTACAGAGTATTCTTTGATCCCGTGAATTTAAATTAAAAATCTATAAAATAAGAGGGCCCGAATAGCTTTATATACTTGCAAATTAAACACCATGTTTCTAAATAATCACTGGGCCAAGCAGACATTGCGGGGCGGGGGAGGGGGGAGGGGAGGGACTAGAAATAATTTGAACTGAATAATAATGTAGCTCAGTGTATCAAAATTCGTGAGATGTAGCTAACACCATCCACAGAGGGAAATTTTTAGCTTTGATAGTTTTATTAGAAAGGATGGAAAATCAAACCAAAGATCTATGCTTCCTCCTTAAACTGGAGAAAGAAGAGAGAATTAAAACCAAAGCAAGTGGCAGCACAGGATAAAAAAAAGAATGTAATTCTATGAAATAGAATAAAGAGTAGAAATGGTAATGTCATTTGAATTAACGCAGTCTGCATGGTGTTGTTCATTCAGCAACTGATGATTGTGTGAGATGCCTAGACCATCACACTGGCTCCCTATTACCACCTTCACTCAGAAAGACAGTATTTCTTCTCCCCATTGTGTGCCCGCCTCCCCACCAGCAATCCTGTCCTTCAGAAAATGTACTCTTCCGTTCACAGTAGGTACACACACGCCTCAGTGTCTGCACATGTACCCCGACAACCATACTGATCAGCGGAGGTGTTTTACTGACTTCCTAAGGGGCTATTTGAAATCTCGGTTGGTCATACCAAGGACCACTGTCACCATCGCTGAGGGTGGGATGTACAGTTACAAGGATGTGCATGACCAAGATATGGTCAGCTCCTCCAGGGGCTGCAGGGAAGGTTATGGACTAAGTGGAGGCAGTCTTGCAGGATATGGATGTAGGTGTGAGCAGATGTGTGTATGCATGTACAGATTTTACCCAAGCTCTAGATACAGGAGATCAGTCCCCTTTGTGCCAAGTATTGCCTCTGCTTTCTGATAGCGAGTTTCTTAATTAATCTGCTCTGTGTGTCCACTCTGTGTGTTCTACTCAAGAAAGTTTGAGATTGTCCTAGAGACGTTATGGGCGTGTGCCATAGTGCTTTATGTCTCAGTGTGTAGAGTAGGAGAAAAGATTCAGAGAGAAGCTTCACGTGAGGTTGTATGGAGAGCAGCTGAATATACTTTTCCAGATTAAAAGGACCCTTTGATGAAACACAGGATCTATTTTTGTCAGAACTAGTTGATTCCTTTGGTGAAAGTGTCCATCAGAAGCCTACTGAGTTCCTTAATGTCTCGTGTTTCCTTTTTATTTCCTCTCTTGTAGATAAAGAATTCATCTACAGAGAACAGAAAGGAAGTGTGATCCTGCGGAATGTTGAAACAAATATTTCTACAGTGTTAATAGAAGGCAAAAAAATTGTAAGTACTCTCTCTAATGACCAGGATAATTTCAGTTTTCCCTCCTGCAAGTCAATAAAGCAGAAAATGACTTTGGGTTTCAACTTTTAGTAGGAGCTGAGCAGAAGCAATAAACTTGTAATACTACAGCCTGGGCTACTAAAGATAATGTGAAATTGAAGCCACGCTAATTTAATAAGATGAAAGCAGTTTCTTCCAGCATGTGGGACATTTCTCTGCAGGTGTTGGAAACAAGTGTTGCATACCATATATAATTGGAAGATAACGTCCTAAGGCTTTAGACATTTACAGAACAATTGCAATAATGCACAGAGAATACTTCAGGAGGCCTTGCTCAATCTCGTTTTTGTTTTTTTTTTAACTCCGCACACAAAGGGAATATTAATTTAGGCACTGACTGCGCCCGCTCTGATGACATTAAGGGATGTTTATTCTTTAAAACGAGTACTGAGTCGATATGAATGCCACCGCTTTGGAATCTGGAAAAACCTGATTTCCCAAAGATTTAAGTAACATTAAGATTCGGAGTTCATGTACAGCTGAAGATATTTATTAAAAACCTTCACTGAAGTTCTGCACCAAAAATCAATTTGAAGAGAATTCACTTTTTTCTTTTACAGTATGTTTATGCTCATCATTATAAAGAGTAAACTTCCAGCTTTAGGGAGTGCATTGCTTTCTTGTCCAATACACAAGGATTCGGAATCAGAACGATCATTACACACCTCTGATGTGAATCAGGAGACCGGTGCCCTGAAATCCGAGAATCCAGGCATTAGACGAAAACCACAGGAAAGATTAGTCAGCTCCCTGGTTTTACAGATAAGGATCCGGAGCCCAGAGCTGGGGAGTGAGCTTTTCAGGGTCCCACAGCCAGTTGGTGACCCCATACCCCAGCCCATGGAAATGCTACTCTACCTCCTCCCCCTCTTCAAGAACATTCAACTCCCTAAATATTTTTATTTCATTTATTTTTGGTGTAAACATACTTTTTTCTTTTTTCTTTTTTTAAGATTT